GGGGGGGCATGTCATGTCAGTACGCACTCCGCGACAAGTAGACAAGGGGACATCAAATGACGGGTGGGTGACCATTTCCACTGCTAATCATCTGAGTGCAGCAGATGAAAGAAAGCGGGGTTTAAACGGCTTTTTGTAACATCTGAATCACGAGGAGGAAAAACAACCACCGCGTCTGTTTACATGTGGAGACGGAAGAATCGATGGTTGGATAGGTGGTGGGTTCGGATTTAAATTAATGGCTACAGAGTGGGAAACCCAGTTGGATAAATACACAAAGGTGGTGGCGGGCTGGAGGGCATCAGAGGTCGGGGGCACAGAGAACCGGGGGGCCCTGGGCAGCATTTAGCCGCCAGGCGAGCGGATGGGAGACACTTGCGGCAAAGGTGTAAACAAGCGTGAGAGCAGAATAGATGTGGAGGAAACAGGGAGCTTGTTTCTTGGCAACAAGCAAATGACCCGCCGCTGCATATGTGCCCCAAGATGGACTGATCCTGAGTTCCTTTCTTTCTTTAGAGAGAAATTTTGACTTTAATACCAAGAAGAAAATCATCCTGATTCCAGTAAACAAGCTGCCTTTTAAATCAAGAATTTTTCTTCAAGGTGGCGTGTGCGATCGCATGTATTCAAGAGAAAAGAAAAGCCATCCTACCTTACAACTGAACTGGCTCAGCGCGGTCAGAACCATCTTGTCCAGATGCGACTTTGGATCAGAGGAAATTAAAGTTAAATTAAAAAGAAACGCCGTTTCTTCCTTGATGGTGTCAAGAGCACCTCTGCTTGTCTGCTCTATCTCTGACTGGCGTGCTCACCCAAAAGCTTCTTGCAACTCTCGTAGCATCGCGATGTTTAGGCTGCAGATTCTAGCCCCCCACCCCCCATCCAAAACACGCACACACTCACATGCACACACACACAGAGAGAGAGAAACGCAGTCCTGCGCTCACACGCGCCATTAACCTCTGATAGAGTTGAAATTCCAGCCATGTAAAGCGCTCTGTGTGCACACTGAAGCTCCTTTACTGGCGTGCATATGACTCAGCAGCAATATCATATGCCTCCGCGACTCGGGCACAGCATGCTGTGCGTATACAAGCACCCGAAATTCGCTCTGTACCTGCGAGAGGCTGCAGCAAAAACATAAGCGTAAGAAAAAAACAAATAAAAATAATAAGCAGGCTTCATTCAGCGTGCTTTCTTTTTCTCTTTCTTTGTTTTTTGAATGAAAGCAAATTCAAAATCTTTCTTACCAACTGGCGCTTTGGAGCTGATACAGCCCATATTTGCAGCTTCATGTAGAACCGCAAGCTATTACATGTGTTCCCCCCTAACAGTCGCGGAGCGTACCTCACTTATCTCTGACTCTCCTCCTTCGGAGGCTCCGCTGGGTTCCGGTACGAGGCGGCAGCGCACTGCTGTGCTCACACCGCTGCAGCGACGCCGAGGGCGGGGGGGAGTCCGGCCATCACTTCCTCTCCCTGCTTTCACTTTCTTCTGTTTTTAACCTGCTTCAAATCCACACACATAAAGTCTTTGTGCAGCTTTGCTGTTGCTTTCTTCTTTTCCTTCTTCTTCTTTATCACTTGAGTCTCTTAGACGAGCTCTACGTCACCTGTCGCAGGGTCGGGTCCTGAGGTTCAGCACCACAGAGGGCGGACAGCGCTCTGTCTGGCTGCAGCGGCATGGGTTTCAGTCCCAGCCCGGCAGCTGTGAGGGTCGAGTTCTCTCGGCTCGGTCACTGCCACGCCACGCTGTCAAAACAGATTCCCGCGCGTCACAGAACGAACCTTGGGAGGCACACACATTGATAGAAAAATCCCACGCTCGGCCGCTTATATACGGCCAAATCTGAGTTTCCGCCTTCGAAGTAGAAGCGGAATGAGACGTGATTGGCTGGTGTCACCTTACATGCCAGCCAACATGAGGGAGGAAGAGAGGGAGGAGTTAGCAGCGCGCACACAGGAGGAGGAAGGTGTCAGATGAGGATTTCATGTCTCGTCGTCTGTGGAAGAAGCATGATGGCAAATCTGGAACGTGTTGCATATGTCATCAGGTCTAAATAGGGAACGCGCACAGTGTGAAGCCTGGCGCAGGTTGTGATGTTACGAGAGCGACAAAAACCCACTTTTCCACCGACAGTCGTGGGGTTGGAAAGGTCGCGTTGGGTCTGTATGACCACAGACTGCATGTTGGTGTAGCAATGCAAACGTCCAATAACAGTAGCTATTTAAAAAAAAAAAAAGCATGCAAGCAAATGGACAACTTTCCCGCACAGTCTGGCACGTTTCCGAACATCAGACCCACTTTCCTATACGCACAGCGCGCAGTGGTCCAGCTGCAGGCTCTCTGTGACCTCCAGCTTCACGCATCCAAATATAGGCAAGCTGTCAAAGAAAGAAAAAAGCCTGACATTTGTGCTCGTGCATCCTCAATCCCAGTTACCCGTTATAGAATCGTGCATGGGCAGAGAGAGTGACTAGAGCAGGAGAAAGGCATGTTGTGACCTATTTGTAAGCGACCCAAACCTGTCTCCAAGCGAGCAGGTTGGCGCTCAAGCATCTTCTCTTCCAATTTTCTCTTAACGCCCACCAGGACTCTAAACATAGACCCAGAGCTGCTGACCCACGAGGCCGCTCTACCTCCACACTGCGCCTGTTACCTCATATGGAGGAACAGCTCCATCATGGAGCTCTTTGAAATTCGTTTTCTATCCATCCCCCCCGAAAAAACGCCATGAAGAACGTCATGTAGAGATATTATCCACTGGATCCTTTTTTTATTTATTTTTTACATGAAGGTAACTTAAAGGCTATTATCTATAAACTACATAAATGTATGCTGTAAATCAGCACTCCTTTCCAGTTATTTTGTCAAATAGGGGCACATGGGAAATCAGGAAATTGAATCAGGAATAAATGCCTAAATTAAAACTAAATACATAAACAAAGAGACTTGGACCTGGTTGAAAATAAAAGTAGTTATTTTAATTATTGGTTATTTCAATGGTGGCTGGATCTCATCTCTCCATGAGCATGGATTAGGAAGCATAAGGTGGTCACAGACCACACAATTAAACTATGGAGCAAAATGCAGACTGATTTCAAGTGTAAATACTCCTCATTCTGCCAAAAAAAAAAAGTAAGTAAAATATCTATGATGGATACATGATACATATTATGGATCAGCCACTGGACACCTCGAGCTCCGGCTTTACCTGCAACCCTGCCCCTCATATGCAGGCATGAAGGAAATGTTAGTTCTCTGTGTCTGGAACATGTGGAACTCCGACAGCTTTAGGAAAAGTCGCTGCGACATTTACTTTGTCACTCAGTTGGAGCTGTGCAGGAATACAGCCTGACTGTATGCTTCACACAGCATGTCCAATATGAGCTGTGTGCCTAAAAAGGCGCGACGGACACATGAGTGAATGGCTCGGTGTCATCATGAGAACATCATGGCTAAAAATGACCAACTTGTTATACAGTAAACACAAAGAAAGTGAATGAGAAACATCAAAGCATGATGCCTTAACATGTGCGGCATGTGTCACTTTACTCATCACAGAGTCAAACCGTGGGAGGACCGCCATTAGTCACACGGGCCTTTTTTTCCTTTTTCCTTTTTGCCTTTCTTTCTGCACGTGCACAGTCTTCTCGTGTTGTGTTATTTTTTACAGTTTGAACCGCAGAAGACTGCAATCTTCTGCACCCACTCTCCCCGCAGTGCAGCCCTCATCTCATAACACACACCGAAAAAGTTGCGGCAAATCCACACAGTGTGATGGGCCCTGTGCCTACTGTAGCTAGTGCTCTAGCGCCACCGAAAGGACGGCTGGTGCACAGGCAGCTGTGGGAGCTGTAGGAGTGCGGTGAGAGCCTGTTGCGCAGTACAGTATGTGTGACTGCAGAGCAGTCCTGAACAGCTTGCGTGTCTCCGTTTCGTATGAGAACTAGTATCAGAAAAGTTAAACAGTTAGGAAACATGCAAGGAATAAATGCAAGCATGTGTTAGAGATGTTTAAACTGATTAAAATGGACAAAGTGTTGTACAGACAAGGCTGCTCTTTTCATTGAAGCATGTGAAAACACAACTTGACACATTTTAGATATAAAAATGAAGATTCAGAGTAAAGAAAAACAGGCATTCCAATCACATTTATTGTTGTTTTAATACCTGTTGTTTAGACATCTGTGATAGAAGCAGCAAAATGTCACTAAGAAGTTGGAGATTTTACAGTTTTTTTGCAGGCGATTGCAATCGTCACGTTTCCCTCTTTGATCAAAATGATCTGGATGATCAAGCGCATTCCACCTTTAAAAAAGGGGGAAAAAACTAGGGCGTGAACAGGATTTCCATTCTGTTAAAAGAAGTGATCGTTTGTGCTGTGATCAGACAGAGAATGCCTGTTTAGAGAGAGCAGCCCCCTCAGCTGAAGAAAAATGTAGCCGTCCTTTTCTTCAGAGAGCCCACGACGGCACGCAGAACACAAGGCGAGTGATGAAACAGAAGCTTTCTGCCAGCTTCAGGCTCTTGGGGCTGCAGATAAGAAGGAGATCTTGATAAAAAAGCTCAGCAGATTTAGTCTCATGCAGTAAAATGAGGACGAGACGGCATTGTAGAGCTTTGTAGAGCTGCCTGGCTGATTAAATGAAAAGCAGAGAAATGACCAAGAGACAGTTCTTATGTCCCAGGTTCTTGTTGCTGCTGTCTCAAGCTGTCCCATCCCCTACTGGGGGCTTTATATGAGAACCACTAAGCTCTGGAGAAACAGAGGATCTTTGATTATGTTGTGTTCTATTGATTATGGTGATATTGTTCATATGCATTCTTCTGCCACCACCTTAAAGCGTCTTGTTGTATATTCCAGTGCACAGTTTCATCACACGTGATGTCCCTTAATGTGAAAAGGTGGAGTGGTCCTCCTTAACAAAGAGCAGGGAGCAGCAGTATAACAACTTTTTCTTTTTGCTGTCACCACCACAAACAGCCAAGTTATCTCTGTTCTCTGCTTACATTTAAATACAGTGCAGCGTCAGACCACAGCTTACTGTAACATAGGTCTTAGACAAACACAGGTTTTCACATTCTGTGTTGCTTACTAGTTGAACAAGCCAAAAACTTATGAAGTCCCATCTTCTGATTACATAATCCCTTTATGTAATCTGATTACATAAAGTGTTATTTTCCCCACGGGGACCAATAAAGTACACTTTCTTTCTTTCTTTCTCAATGTTTCTGCAATCACACTTGCACAGTTTCTAATTCTGAAAATATATCATGAGTGTTTGTCCATTATATGTTTCTCTGCCTGTCCATCCATCCATCCATCCATCCATCCATCCATCCATCCATCCATCCATCCATCCATCTTCTTTTGCTTATCCAGGTCATGGGGGCATCAGCCTAAGCAGATAAGCCCAGACCCCCAGCCACCTCCTCCAGCTTGTCTGGGGGAACACCAAGGCTTTCCCAGGCCAGCCGAGAGATATTATCTCTCCAACTTGTCCTGGGTCTGCCCTGGGGCCTCCTCCTGGTGGGACATACCCGGAACATCTCACCCAGGAGGTGCCCAGGAGGCAACCGTGTCAGCTCGTGACCATGGGTGAGGGTAGGGATGTAGACTGACCGGTAAATTGAGAGCTTTTTTTTTGCACTCAGCTCTCTCTTCACCACAGCAGACCGGTGCAGCGTCCACATAACTGCACCCGCAACACCAATCCATCTGTCACGCCTAGAAATTCTGTCCATAAAGAAATTCTGTCTGCCCCTTGTCCTTAGACTTTATATGTTTGTTTTGTGTTGTGTATGTTTGTGTACATGGGTTTATTCTTAAGATATAAACTGCAAATCTCAATGTGAGTACATGCTGAAGATAGGGACACACTCATATGTCAGTTGAATATCAATGCTGGATGAAGTTTTCTTGGTTTTCCTGCTATGAAAGTGGAATAAAGAACAGCAGAAAGTGCTGGTGCTGGAGCCTGTTCCAGCAGTCACAGGATGATCAGCAGGGTACATCTTGGACAGGTCACCAGAACCAGTTTAAATTAGGTACCAAACTATAATTTTAGGTTTGATGCTGTGTAGCTTCATGCTGCTTTGCAGCCAAAAATATCAGAAGCAGCATGAACCTTTGTTATAAGGCACAATGGATCCATGCTTTCGTGTTTTTAGGTCAACCACGGCACGTTCAGAGTCACTTAAATCAATTTTTTGCTGGAGCCTATCCCTGCTACCATAGATGAGAGCCAGAGTACACCCTGGACAAGCTGCCAGCCTGTCACAGGGCTAAAACATAGAGACAACATTCACACCTATGGGCAATTTAGAATCACCAATTAACCCACAAACCCCCCTAAATGTATTTGTTAGGTGTACCTAACAAAATCAATGGTGAGTGTATGTGTGCAGAAGGAATAATGGGTACAAATCAGTGCCAAACCATTAAATAAGTCTAAATTTTTCATCACATCTAATGTTTATATAGAGTATTGGCACACATTAATCATTACATATGATATCAGAGAATGTATGTTGCAAAAGGAGATATTGTCCCTGTTTGCCATGTCCTTTCTACTCATTAATAAACCTCACTTCCAGACAAAAGACAAAACGCTTCCTCTTGCATCGCCTCTCAAGCTGTTGAGCTTCTCTCCACCATATGATCTGCAAATGACTTTAATGAACGTGTGGAAAAGATGAGAGCAGGCCCGTCATCTAAAACAATGATGATGGCCTCAGGCCAGTCTAAATGAGTACAGGGAGAGTCAAAATCAGGTTTCACAAACTCCTAACCCCAACAGATGTCCAAAATAATTACTGCAATCTGTCTCCCAAGGATAAAAATAGGTGATCTTTACATATTTTGCATTATTAATGGACCGCTGTAGTAATGTCATCAAACCAACCCACCTCAAACCTCAATTAGCACTGCGGATGTTAGAGAGGATCAAAGGAAGAAGGAGGCATTTTCAGACTTGTCTCCTAACAGGTTATAAAATTAGTTATGAACTGGAATAATAGGCCTATACAGTAACAGGATTCTTTGGTGACTTAATGGGTAAATATGAAGACATATAAGAATATACAGCGCTAAGTAATTATCTTATGTTTAAATTCATATCCAGTACCACCAAGATAGACATCTTTGTGGTCTTCAAATAATTTTGTGACTCTACAGCAGCCAAGCAATACAAAAAACTATCTCCACCCACAGGAAGGACAAGAAACCTTAAAACACTTAACAACAAAGCCCGGTGTTCTGGGAATCCATCCTACCTGGAAAGACATCCTACCCAATGTTTCTGCACATGCGCACAACACCAATGCCAAATTAACTACTTTTTCTCTCACCCATCCGGAATACTTCTTAAGGTTATGGTTATGGTTAGGGGTAGGTTTAATCGCAAGTCACCGTCAAATTATAATACGGGTAGGACGTTTTGTCAGAGTAGGATGGTTTCTCAGAACACCGGATCACAATATCACAGAGCCGGTGTGGGACTAGATAAAAAGACAGATGACACTGATGCAGTTCTCCAAGATGCTTGAGAAGCATTATGAAAATAGTTTGATGTGTTTTCATCAAACAATGTGTTTTCAAAAGTGCAGTAAACAGGACTTGTATGAAGTTAGCAAATAAAAGCTATTCATTGGGGATACTGAGCTGTTCAAAGCCAGAAACAGGAACAGACCAGAAACATTATCTCCTAGGTCTGCTCCTTCTAACTGGACATGTCTGAAACACCCAAGGCATTCAGGAGCCTTCCTATTCATAACAGCTCGCACTAACGTACAGTGACCAGATAGCCCATAATAACAGGGAGAATACCCCATAATCACAAACTCCTCACGGGATACCGTGATAGACTGTCGAATGCTTTGTCCAACTCAAAACACATATAAACTGGTTGCGCACAATCCCACGCACCCTCAAATACATTCATCAGGAAAAAGAGCTGGATCACTCTTCCATGTTCAGGAAAACGCAACGTTCCTCTTAAATATGAGGTTCAACAAATGGACACATTTTCCTCACCAGTTCCAAGATTGATGTAGCTTCCTGATCTGAAAAGTGAAGCCAATGTGAAAGTACCTTAAACCTGCATTCTATTTAACAACCAACAGGTCCAACTCCTGCTAAAAGCAGCCATATTCTAGTATGACAAAATACCCTTACTTTTTTTTTTCTATGAGGTAAGTAAATACTTAAGAGGTGGATTATGATCTCAATTTCTATTTTCAAGTCTTGTTAAACACAATATGATGCAATTTTATGGCCCCAGTTTGAGTCAAAAAGGAGGATAAAGCACAGTGTGTTTAAGGGCAGACCTACTTTGTTACTGGCAAATGTGTCGGTCACAAAACGGCTCTTAGAGCCGAATCTTTGAAGTGAACGACGAGAGCCGTGGGGTTTATTTTTCTTTCTCTCACCCTCTCTCTCGCACTTTTTTCCTGCTTCACTCCGCACGCGAGCCTTGTGCTTTGCATTGGGAAGAGGGGAGACACACATTAGAAAGGTATAGTAATCATCCACAACTATTTTCAGTTGCAGATGATAAAGGATTCAGAAAGTTTGTTCATGCAGGTCCATATGGCAGAGAATGTGCATCTTCTTTTAGTTTTCATTTTTTAATTTATATTTAATTGTGTTGTGGTTTGCAGTGTTTTGTGTTGTTTCACTTTAAATTTGTTTAAAATGAAAAAGCTGAAAATTTAAATAGTTAAAAGTTGAAATGTAAATAGTTGTTTTTTTGTATTATATGATTTATTTTTTACATTTTATGTGGAGTGAATAAATAAAAGTATATTTACGGTGGCCCCTACAGACAAAACACGTAAAAACTCCAAAACACGTACAAACCCCGAAGCTCGTACAAAACACAACAGAAGTGCTCCAGGATGCTGGGCGCAGTGTTGAGCTTTTGTTACCTAGTGGCTACACAAGCCAGGAAGTACCAATGACCAGATTTGGTGTGTGGTAGTAAAAGGTAAATGAACATTTTTTAAAATTGTTTGAATATATATGAGTGCTTCTGTATAAATACACAAACAATACACACATGCTTTCAATTGTGTAATTTAAGTAGCTCTGTTTTGGAAGTTCAGTTAACGCTAGAAATGTGCTTTGGAGTTTGTACATGCTTTTTGGAGTTTGCATGTGTTTTGTCTCTAGGGGCCACTGTATATATTTATATATAAACATAGATAAATAAAACCACTTTTTTTTACATTAGTAATTCATTTTGTGCATAATTTTATATTATTGTTAATAATAAATTCATTAAAGCAACTACACAACCTGAAGAGCCGGTTCGGAGCCGAAAGAGCCGGTTCTCTAAAAAGAGAATCACTACTGGCAAATTGCTACTATATGAGCATGCAGCGTTCCTAGATTTCTTAGATAGCTCCACCTGTCCACTCCACTGTCGCTCATCAAACCCAAATTCATGTTAGTTAGACAGAAGCTCACTCAACAATGAGTAACATCACGGTCCATTTTTTATTTCACAGAAAGTGCTTGCAAAGTGCAAAATAACCATTTTATTTCGAGGTTTCAGTAAATACATCTATGGATCATTTGTCACAAATATGAACTTAGGTGAAAGGAACAGTTTCATATTTTTAATAGATATACGTGTTTCCTCTTTCAGCCAAGAATTAGATGAGAGAAGCTAAAGTCAGCAGAAGATTTCATTAGCTTAGCACTAAGGCTGATAGCAAGGCTAGTTTCAGTAATGTGTTTGTTTTTGTTGTTTGTTTGTTTTGTTTTAGCCTCTACACAAATTCATCTGACTCCTTTATCAAGGATGCCATTTAGCACATTTTGCCAAAATGTAGACTTGTTTCTTTAATTATGCTGCCTGTTATGATCTGTAGCACGTTTAAAAATGTGAAATATAATGCAAAAAATATCAGCTTTGTTCATGGTAAATGGACTAGTTCTTATATAGCGCTTTTCCACTCTTCTGAGCACTCAAAGCGCTTTACACAACTTGTGCATTCACCCATTCACACCCATTCGTACAAGCACAACTGACATTCACACACATTCATACTCCGATGAATGCATCGGAGAGCAATTTCGGGTTAGTATCTTGCCCAAGGATATTTGGCATGCAGACTAGGGGAAGCCGGGAATCGAACCACCAACCTTCCAATCAGTTGATGACCTGCTCTACCACCTGAGCTACAGCCACCCTTAAAGCTTTCACTCGTGTGTATGTAAATGTGGCAGAGGGATTGTTTTTCTTTGTTTTACTGTGGAAACAAGGTCAGATACTGAAGATTTGTCATTCTGATAAAGCCAAAAATGTCAACAAATGAGATCGTTGGTATGTTTAAATAATTTATATCAATAAACTCTCAGCCAACTGTCTAGGAAAGGACTGCTTTATTGGTATAGCCCAGGGATTCAACAGACTGCCAGTGTAGATGCTTGATGAGCTTACATTTCATAATAATTCTTTACAGTCACTGCGGGAGTGACAGTCCTTATGTCAGTTAATGATTTCTGTGACTTGATTCACTCTGTCCGATCACGACCCTTTGCAGGCTGCAAGATAACCCTGGTGCAAGAAACCACACTAGTGCACATCCGTGTTGAAGTGTGCTTGAGCAAATCACTGAACCCATTCGCACTGTTTTATGATGCTGACCTCTGACTGCAGATCAGATCAGCAAAGAAAATGATCTTACATGAGGACTGTGATGGCCAACAGCACGCTCAGGAAGTTACCGAGCAAAGCTGCTGAGGCACTAACTGCTCCGGCCCCATTCTTGTTATATTCAAGGGTTATGTGAACCAAAGGTGGTGTAGTTTGCCCCTCACAGTGCCTTAGGTCAGCACCCACGCAGGCAGCGTAGCCCATGGCATGGGCAATATAGTTCTGCTCGTTGACACCCTGGAAGAGGTGGGCCATGGGTCCACGGGCCAGCACTGCCACATCCTCTCCACTGTGGGTTGTTGTATCTACGGGGACAGCTGCCTGCTGGATGTAGTCTTTAGATTCTGGAGAAGATAAGGATAGAGTACAAATGATTAGTCCTTTCAAAGAACATTAGACCCCATTTACACTTAAAACTGGTTTGATGAATGATATCAGCACCTGACTGGTGCATGGTAGTAGATCTAACATAGTGAATTCTGTGAAACAACGAAGTAATGACTGGGTCTTACTGGTGTCAACATTGCGGATGTCAGGGCGTGCGCCATTAACGATTTTGTGCCCAGGTCCATTGCCGTACATGAGCGTGGTATAAGGCAACATGTCACTTGCCCACAGTGGAGATTTACCTGGAAGACACAAACATTATTTTTGATTTATCTTTCTATTTCTTTCTGCTGTTTCTTTCTGCCTCGGAGTGCTAAACAAACAAAAACACACATCATGCGCACACAAACACAAGTGCAAGGAGGGATTGCTTGATCCCAAGGGTGCTGCGGGAGGTCTAGAGCTTGTTGACGATCTCAGCGTTTCTCTCCAGATGAGCCATTAGCCTGGCGAGTCTCCCCGCTGATGAAGAGCTCAGAGTTTCAGAGTCACATTAATCACTGCTGCACTGCTGCACCGCTGGGAGGAGGAGGAAGAGGGTAAAAAAGGAAAAGGAAAGAGGGAGCGCAAAGGTGTGAAAAGCATGACACGACCACAGATCAATCAATACAGACTCTGAAGACTGATAGTGATACAGTACAGTGATAATATGACTGGTAACAAATGGAGAGAAGGAGGAGCAGCCTCCAAGCCTGAGAAACAAAGTCCCAAACAGCAGCAGCTCCTTGAGGATGAAACGTTTTTTTTTGTTAGAACAGTGAAACATTCTAACAAAAAATGTTTTTGGCTCTCTCTGTCTACTCTTGGCAACTCTCTGGACAGTTTTCCTCTGGATAGGTTTTCCCTTTCCCAATTACAGATTGTAGTGAGAGTGGGTTTTTGCAGAGCTCATCCATCTGAATACTGCAGTCAGAGGCGTAGCTGTTTTGACTGACAGACGTCTGGCACAGGCTGCCCTAACTTATCACTGTCTGCTGGACTTCACTTTCATAAAGAGGAGTCACTGAACTCCATTCCTCAGTGTTGTGTTGCCATCAGTACCTTTTGGGATTATCTTACTACATATTGACTTATGTGTCCAAGAAGTTTTGCTCCAGCTTGCTTTTGCTCCAGCTTGCATACTAGTTACAGTAGACACGACACCAATGCTGGGATGATTCTAGACCTCAAATTTATCACAATCTTTGTGTGCGATTTCAGTACAACAGGCTGCATATTTCATTCCTCAGTCGACCTAAATGAAAGCAGTTTGGGAAATTTGCTGGTCTGAAGCATTCAGGTGTGCGTTACGGTCCTGGGTCAGTGGCCCAGTGTCTTGATTTTGTATTGTTGTTTATTAGTCTGTTTTCCTTTTGGTTCATGGTTTATGACTACTGGTGTTTCTGTTCTGTGTTTCTTAGCTTGTGTATTCCTCTGCTCCTCATGTCACTCTGGTCCCTGTACTCTGTGTTCCCTCCGTTCTTTGTCTGAGTTGTCTTTGAGTTGAGTCTGTGGATTTCCTGTTTTATTTTGAAGGTTTATGTCTTATGTCAGTGTTCTAGTTTCGTTTCCTCTGTCTCGTTAGCTCTAATTTCTCCCGGCTGTGTTCCCACCTGTTCCTCGTTCCCTCATGTGTATTTATAGTATGTGTGTCCTCCAGTGTTCAGCGTCGCGTCACGTCCTCAACTTGCTGTGTGGTTTTCTTTTGTGCTCCCAGTCGCTCGTCTTTAGGTTTTCCTAGTGTTTGTTATTAGCTTTGTGTTTTCAGTTTAGGTCTGTTTTTGTGAGTTTATATTTGGAGTTTCTGCCACAGTGGAATAAAGCTGCCTCTTTTAGTTCACTGTGAGTCCAGCGCTTGGGTCCTGTTCTCCTGCCTGCACACAGCACACCATGACAGAAGTCCATCTTCTACAGTGAGAAAGATTATTCACAAGTGGAAAACATTCAAGACAGTTGTCCATTTTCCCAGGAAATTCATCCTGAGTTCAGACAGCAATCCTCACAGAAATAAAAAACAAAAAATAAGAAGAAAGCTCAAGAACTACATCTCACCTCTTCAGACCTTAGTATTCAAAGTTGATGACAGTACAACCAGAAAAAGACTTCATAAGTATGTCTGATTGGAAGAATTACCAGCAGAAAACCTCTTTTTAATAAAAAGAAAATGGCAGCAGCTGAGCTTTGTAAAGTTGTGTCTGAACAAACTAAAGATCTGGAACAATCTCCTTTGGACAGGTGAGATCAAAGTGGAGATGTCTGACTAACATGCACAGCACCACATTTGGAGAAAACCAAACACAGCAGGTGGAGGGGTTATGATTTCCACATGTTTTGTTTCTGGAGCTGATACATTTTTGGAAAAAATATCTACTGAGTAGATACACAGTTTAATAGTTACCACTTGAGTGATGCACCTAAAAGGGACTCAGCTACTCTTCATCTTTATTATATACATCTGTAAAAAAAAATTATTCTGTGGTAAGTCAAACTGTATTTTAAGGACATCTTTCAGGTCTAAAACCTTAAATAAAACAGAAAAGTGAGCAAGAGGAGAGAGAGTTGAAGAGGTAAGGAGCACATAAGATCAATAGGAAAGCCCTTTAAAGGGAGATTAACTGGTGAAAGTGATTGAGAACTTAGAAGGAAAAAAGGTAGAAGAGACAGTGTCATCAGTGTTGTAGATGGTAAATGGAAGACAGAAGAGGGAGAAAGCAGGGGACTGAAATAGAAAGGCAAGCAGGAGAAAGGCTGCCAGTAATGTGTGTTTACCCTTGCTGTAATTGCAGGGAGAGACAGCAGATGAAATGTCAAGCTGCTGGTGGCAGAAGCACACTGAAGCTGTGAGGATACAGGCACTAAGAGGCATCGCGCACACACACACACACACACAACAGGTACAAATGCTGCCGCAGGTGTCTATTGTCAGAATGGCTAAACACACCTGGAGGGGGGAATGGAGGCACAGAGTAAAGGTTTGAGGGGGAAAACAGAAAGAATTGTGGAGAAAGCTTAACTTACTGATACACTGACGATTAAAGAAAATCCTAAATTCTTTTTAAGCATTTGTTTCAGCAGGATTTTTTTTTTAGATGAATGAATTGCAGCCCTGTTAATATTTACCCAGAATGCTGTTCCCACGAAAGGGGAAGCCATTGAAGGTAAGAGGCTGAGAGTGGTCAGCCATCACTACAGTGAGAGTGTCATGCTCTTTGGTGAGTTCGAGGCCCTTAGCGATAGCACGGTCAAAAGCAACCGCCTCATGCAGGGCCATGGAGGCCCGCCCAGCATGGTGAGCCTGGTCAATACGCCCACCTGTAAACACAAGGAAGGAAGGGGTTAAAAATAGCGGAGAGTGATGTACTGCCTTCTGGTCTTGGTTTTAGGAGCAGAAAAATAATTGGAAAAACCAGCATAATTTAAAAAATATCTCCTACATAAAGTGGCCATAATTCCTAAACAGTTCATGTAGTACTTTTATTTAATGTATATGTGATGTATATACACAACGAAAGCATTTTTTTCAAAAAATGTATTTTCCAAAAATGCACTGGGAAACAAACAAAGTCAAAATAAAGCAATGATGATCTATGTGTGTGCCAAAAGATTGATGATCTGACCAATCTGATTGGTCAGATCTGTTTATTCCGATCCAAAATATCAGAAAAAATTAATGCCTAAATTTGTCCAGCAGTCAGTGTGAATAGCTGCATTATGAACAGGTGAATCTGAAAATTATTTTTTAAGCTCTCAATATTCACACACATTTTACATGTGCGTTGTGCAAAGGCAGAAACCCTGGACATTAGGAGATTACAGTTTCCACTCACTGATTCCTAAGAACAGTTTGCAAAATCCACAAATCACTGGATTAAAGTCTCATCAGCATCAAACGACTTGAGCTGCACTTGCCCAGAAGACTTAAAATAAACTTTGAAAGGTTATATTTAGTCCTAATAAACATCCAAACACCTTGCAAGGAAACAGTTAACTATTATTTGAATGAGTTATACAGTCTGTATATTTTCCCCCTGGCAGCAGGTACATTTCAGAGTTGAACCTTTTCTAAAGAGAGAGTGGGTGATTTTTTTTCTGCATTAGCACATCTCCCGCTCCTGTCCTCTCCACCGGCTATATTGGAAAGTAAAGTAGACCCGGCAAATAAGTTGTGATCTCAGCGAGCTGTCAGTGATTGGGCGCACCATATGTCCACTTCTATTTATATATTTGCCTCTTATTTTTAAAGTCATTGTGAAGACACTCAGTGGCACCGTGGAGTCCCCAGGCAGCTGCCTCAGATTAAAAGAGAGATAGACAAGGAGGCCAGAGAGGCAGCCGCGTGGAACGGAAACACACCATCAGCACACACTGCGGCAAACTCATTGAGCTGTATGCAGAATCAGTGTCAACAGCAGGTACACACCGTGCTCTGAGCCAATGTTGTCACTATGGCACAAAGATCAATTTATCCCAACCAAGCTCCTATGTTGTACGCATATTAATATTTCAGCAAACAACAATTACTTAGTTATTTATATATAACTGTCACTTGGGCTGGTTGGGTATGATTATTGTGCAATTTAACTGATCCTTCTATTTTTAGTCCTCTCACAGGAATTTTTTATCCAGTGTTTGTTGGATCGAGTGATGCGAATGTGTAGAAAACAGATGAAGCTGCTGTCCTCACCCTCCACTAACAGGAAGAAGCCTTTAGGGTTTTTCTGTAGGATGCGGATGGCCTTTTCTGTGGTCTCGATGATGGACGGATCCATGCTCGGGTCCCTCTCCTCCTCGTAGCGGAGATCACCAGGTTCGAACAGAGCTGGGGAGGAGAAAGGAAAACTGCACTATATTTATCAGTGATCAGTGGGGGTGTAGTGGCAAGGAAAGTCCTATTTTCTTCCTACTACTATTACCACTATTTTCAGCACACAGGAACTGATTAACCACACAGCAGGAGAAAACACAAAATATAGCAGCAAGCAAGCCCTCAGTCCACAAAAAGCACAATGACTGGATCCCTACACTTCCTACACACCGTCAAATACCAAAAGTTTACTGACAGCACCTGGTACAGAAAAAATATATTGGAGCATTTTCTGAAACAGAGCTAAAACCCTGCAAACATTTCAACTGGCAGTGTACCATTTTTTCTCACTGTCTAATATTTGCTGAAAAATAGTTAAAAATGAAAGTTGTCCCAGTGTTGTGCTGTTTTTTCAGTGTCGCCTGGATGTTCTTGCTGGACTTTTTGGTAAAGTAATATTTGGATTTGAGAATCGTTTTTTAAAATCCTTTTTTCAAATGGAACAAAATGAAAAAAACAAAAAAACAAAAACAGTGTTGATTGAGAAAAGAGTAGGAAATCCAAGAGAGAAAAGCAGAGCACAGTTGGCCCAAGTTGAAACAGTCAGTCAGAGTTTTCTTAAATCCATCATGTGATTTGGACGCACTGGCGACTGTTGACTCCAGAGGGTTAATATTATGTACACTTAGTTAACTGAGTCACTAAATTATGAAGTCGGAACACAGAAAGAAAAGCTCCTAAGGTTAAGGTATTACTTTATTATAGACCTTTTAAAAACCCTAAACAAATAATTTGGATACATAAACCGCAAATAAAAACAAAAGTCCAAACTCAAAAAATAAGTGACGTACAACCATGTTGATGCCTGACTCCACCACCACTCCATTTAATAGAAACCACGTTTCTATTAAATGTCTAGTTACATGTGAAGCAACAGGGGAATGCATGAGGGAGCAAAGGAAGGGGAAAAAGAGAAAAAAACATACCCATGAGGTAGTCAGTGGTTTCAGGGTCAACAGCGTCAAAATCTGCTTTATTCCACACATAGTGGGCAACCTGTAACACACAGGAATACATATAACCATGGAGAGTGGAAGCAGAATACCAAAAGTGGTTGTACTTGTTATTAGTCACTGCATGACTCACCGGCAAACAGAAGGAAGCCGCTTCGTGTGCAAAGTAAAGGACACTTAACTGTTCTAACTATGAAACCTGCACCAGGTTTCTGTTCTTATATGATGCAAGTAATCACGTTTCTTATGGAAAAATAGCAGAATATTCATTTTGTAATACATTCACCTCTGGTATCCTTTGGCGAATAAAGTTTAAACAAAAACTCCCTGATACCTTATATTGTTAACTGTCTCCATTACAGTCAGATGCAGACACTGATAAGATCAGTCACACAACTGGACCCTCTTTAAACATATCAGGTCAAAATAAAAATCATCCAGTCCTCAGCAGGTCTTACAATAAATACAAATTTTAATGAAAACTTGACATATTGTACCGTTTCATTATTTATGCAACAGAAATTTAAGTCAAAAGGCCAAAAACAGTGTGTGACAAACTAAGCACACCCTCACCAAAAATAGTAAAGTTCATGACAAAACAAGTTTGCCAGGAGAAAACCTCTTCTTTCTAAAAACAACATAGCAGCCCAGCTCAGGTTTGTAAAGCTGCATCTGTACAAACAAGACTTCTGGAACAATGTCTGTTGGTCAGATGGGACCAAAGTGGAGATTTTTCACAGCACGGCATATAGATAAATCCAAAAGCAGCATATCATCACCTCACACCAACTGTCAAGGAAGACAGTCCGGTAGAGGGGTCATGATTTGGATTTGTGTAGCAGTAAGACCTGGGTACCTTGCAGTCATGGAGTTAACAGTGCAGTGCAGAATACTCTTTATACCAAAGTATTCTGCACTTGGGTTCAGTTGTTATGCAATCAATAATCACACAGTATAATATGTCACGTGTTATTGATTAACTGATGTTGTATTTATCTGCTTTTAAGATTTTTATTATGTCCTGACACATAAAACTGTAAATTGAAAGAGGGTGTCCTATCTTTTTAATACGACTGTATATGTACAGGTTTTTAGGTCTTCTGATTTCACACCTCATCATACTTCTTACTTCTACCTGTTATTATGAGCAGAGGTGTTTTACCTTCCCAGTTTTTAAGTTCTGCCACTCTTTGATCAGGTCACGCCCATCCTTTCTTTCACCGTTTGAAAAGTAGTCTGTGGGGTATTCAGGGTCCTTGGTACCAGTAGGGGTCATGTACTTTCTACCGCCGCCAATGATCACCTGAAAACACACGCACACACACACGCACACACACGCACACACACGCACACACGCGAACATTTAAATCAAATTCAGCCGTTGAAAAGTTCAATATATACTGTTAAAAACAGAAGCGTACATCAATGTCTGTGTTGTTGATGAGCTGGAATGAGATATCCGTGCAGCCGTCCGTCTTGGCAGAATCAGGCATATCGGCATCACTGTACCACGTCCTGCTGGCACTGTGGGCGTAGCTGCCTGCTGGGGTGGCGTGTTGCACCCTCGTGGTTGTTACGATGCCCACAGACTTGCCTGCAACGTAAATACAGTAGCTTCCTGCTTAACACAGGTTAGCAAAAAGCACTCTGCTCCATGTATGAATACTCTATGAGCAGGAAGAAAAGTCATTAGTCGTTAGTCAAAAACTTTCTCAACTCTGAATGCAAAAGTTATCTTGGTGTGAAGTCTAGTAGATACAGTACTTATTGTCCTTTTAGTACTTACTTATCCTTCATCTGACAGACATTCAAAGTTTAAGATCTCAGTCTCAGTGTGATAGCTGCGAGATGAGTGATGTGACGGCAAATTATCAGACACAGATACTCATGGCTTCATGAAGTGGTGATGTGAGATTACAAATCTCTGTCATGTATCAGAGGGATCAAAGTTCTTTATGCTCACTTGGAAAAAGTGCGCTGAAACTCAAAAGTCATTAAAGACAGTCTGTAATGCGCACTGTAGGCGGCAGCAAATGGTTGATTAAACAATTAGCCAATCCACAGGCAATTAATCCAAACAATTAGGACAGCTAATTGTTAGAGCAATTTTTCAAAAATGAAAGAAATATGCTTGCAGGCTGTCAAATGTGAGCACTGAGCCTCACTTTGACACGTCACCATGGGGTTTAGAGGGGAATTTTGACATAGTTTTCTAGACTTGATGAATGAATAAAATAAAACTCCAGCTAATATGTCATTTTAATTGTGCAGGGTTATTACTTAAGAGAAAAAAGCAAAGATATCAGTGAAGAAAAAGCCTCCTGTGATGCCTCAGAGTTATCTCAAGAGGTGCCGGGCTCCAGGTGAACCTTGCTGCTAGAAACTGCGTGGAAGGACACGACCGTTTCCAAAATGTTTTTTACAACATTAAATAGAAGCGTCTTCAAAAAACGGGTTCTCTGCAACATTCGCATCTGAGCATCGGTCTTTGGCATAGCGCTGGGGTCATGGCCATGACACTCTGCCTGTGTGCGTGTCATGAGATATTTATGGATGCTGATAACACTGGAACACGATAACAGTCAAGGTGCTTTCCTGTGTAGTAGATTATGCTGTGGTGGAACCTGAGGCTGCGAGCTGCTGTTGCTCCCTGCTCCCCGGTGGCCCCTGTAATACCACTCTGACAGGGCACTGCAGCTCACAGCAGAGCGCTCAGCTGTAAAATCAGGTTTCGTTGAGGCCGTGTAAGACCTGGGGGATTTTCTTTTGACAGAAGCTAGAACCTAAATGTGACACGCAGGGCCATGTCAGGTATCTGCCTGCTCTTTGTACAAGAGTCACACAATCCCATTTGTTGCTTCAATCACGGCATCTTTTAAATTCTTATCCTCTGAGTGTCATCTGTGCAGCAATGAGTTGCACTTGTTCACATGAGCCTATTGCCATCTGCTGAATATCACCATTACCATTAGTCTGTTTTATAAATCATTTGCTCATTATTATACATCACGTAAGCATTATGGTGAAATGTTATGGGCTTTTTCGCTTTAATCTTGTGGCATCTTGTTTTTAAACATCAGTTAAATTCTCATTTAAAGGTATTTTCTTACATTTACAATCATCTGCCACTAAATGTCGTCTCCGCCGCTGAATTTCCCGTCAACAAAAAAGCTGCAGCAGTGTTTTCTGAAGCATGTCAATTGAATAAAAATGCTAATTTAAATGTTTTTATGCTCTGCTTTGCGGTTCTCATCACCCACATTTTGTCATTTTTATGCAAATGTTTCTGTTTCCATTTTTCCGCCTCTGGCATAAAAAATATGGCATAACCTTTTTTTAATTTCACTTACAAAGCTCTGACTGGCTCAACAGTTTTTCCAATTCAAATAAGCTTCACGGAGCACAGCATAAAACTCCCCCCCCCCCCAATTTATGTTTCAAACATTCAGAATAGCTAGCCATCTTATGTTTCTGTTTTTTTCATTTGACACATTCAACTAACTGCAGTAAAGTAAGCTTTTTGGTATGATAATGATTAAAAACAAAGTAGTATAGTTCTGTCGTCTTTTGACTCTTTGACCCAGTTAGCATCCAAACTGCTGCATACACGTGACTATTGTTCCTCATGCTCTGATGAAGGCAAGAAGTCCAAAATATTAGCACGTTTGTTGACATGGTCAGAATAAATAGGTGAATTTTAAATTTGCCCATTTTTCCCTCAGGTTTTGTGCTACAATCTTTATACATTTGGGCATTAAAGGATGTACTAATACTCCACTACTACTGCTTGGAGTTTTAGTCCACAGATGAAAAAATTATTTTTAAAGATTCAGTTAATGACATTTCTTGTCTTCAGTGGCTCACCAGCATCTTTGGCCCACTTCAAGATGGACGTCACCTCGTTGCCCTTCTGAGTTCTGCATACTCCGTTGCGACCCGCCGCATTCACTCCAACGATGTTCAGGTTGGTTTTCACCCCACACAGATAGGCTGTGGCTGTGGCTGCGCTGTCTGCAACCTGGAAGTCCACACTGTAGGTCTGCACAGTACACACACATACACAAAGACACATTTACCATTTAAATATTTTCAGTATTGTCTCATCAAGCTCCCTTTACTCCTAGGGTTGTGTGGTGGTGCCAGAGTAATTGGGCATCTGGAGATATTTAAAAAATGAAAGGCTTCAAAGTAATTTTCCCTCTTCTGTAGGCACGTAGAACTCTTCCTTTTGTGAGCCATGGTTTCATTGCACCCCACTGAAGTATTTGAAATTCAGTTTTCAGTGCTACTGTGCTTGAGCCATTTTTCACATCTTTATATTTATTAAAACATGTGCAAACATTTAAAATAAGGCAAAAAGGTTTTAAAAAACTGATGAACTTGAAATTCAATTTTTAATATGACCACCTTTATTCTTCCACACAGCCTGAACTGTCTCAGGCAAGCTTATGTTCCTTTTTCTACCAATTGTCCCACTCTGCTTCTGTAATGTTGAGTTCTGGGCTCTGTGTCATGGTGTGTTTGTCTATCCAGGTATGTTTTTACTGCATTGATAATGCGTTTGGGATTGTTATCATGCTCAAAAGTAAAGCCATTACCAATCAATCTTTACTGTATGGTATTCTATGGTAAATCACAATCTGATGGTACTCTTTTGTGCAAATAATTCGATAAATTTTGACAACATTCCCAACACCACTGGTTGAAATCCAGCCCCGTAACATAAAAGAACCTCCATTGTGTTTTACACGTGGCTGTAGTCGCTGTTATACCCTCTCCTAACCTTGTTAAAATACACCACCGTAGATACTGAAGATAATTTAAATTAAAAGTTTCAAATTTGGACTCCATATCTGTTACCACTGATTTTCAGTCCAGGTCTTGTACAGGGAGTGCAGAATTATTAGGCAAATGAGTATTTTGTCCACATCATCCTCTTCATGCATGTTGTCTTACTCCAAGCTGTATAGGCTCGAAAGCCTACTACCAATTAAGCATATTAGGTGATGTGCATCTCTGTAATGAGAAGGGGTGTGGTCTAATGACATCAACACCCTATATCAGGTGTGCATAATTATTAGGCAACGTCCTTTCCTTTGGCAAAATGGGTCAAAAGAAGGACTTGACAGGCTCAGAAAAGTCAAAAATAGTGAGATATCTTGCAGAGGGATGCAGCAGTCTCAAAATTGCAAAGCTTCTGAAGCGTGATCATCGAACAATCAAGCGTTTCATTCAAAATAGTCAACAGGGTCGCAAGAAGCGTGTGGAAAAACCAAGGCGCAAAATAACTGCCCATGAACTGAGAAAAGTCAAGCGTGCAGCTGCCAAGATGCCACTTGCCACCAGTTTGGCCATATTTCAGAGCTGCAACATCACTGGAGTGCCCAAAAGCACAAGGTGTGCAATACTCAGAGACATGGCCAAGGTAAGAAAGGCTGAAAGACGACCACCACTGAACAAGACACACAAGCTGAAACGTCAAGACTGGGCCAAGAAATATCTCAAGACTGGTTTTTCTAAGGTTTTATGGACTGATGAAATGAGAGTGAGTCTTGATGGGCCAGATGGATGGGCCCGTGGCTGGATTGGTAAAGGGCAGAGAGCTCCAGTCCGACTCAGACGCCAGCAAGGTGGAGGTGGAGTACTGGTTTGGGCTGGTATCATCAAAGATGAGCTTGTGGGGCCTTTTCGGGTTGAGGATGGAGTCAAGCTCAACTCCCAGTCCTACTGCCAGTTTCTGGAAGACACCTTCTTCAAGCAGTGGTACAGGAAGAAGTCTGCATCCTTCAAGAAAAACATGATTTTCATGCAGGACAATGCTCCATCACACGCGTCCAAGTACTCCACAGCGTGGCTGGCAAGAAAGGGTATAAAAGAAGAAAAACTAATGACATGGCCTCCTTGTTCACCTGATCTGAACCCCATTGAGAACCTGTGGTCCATCATCAAATGTGAGATTTACAAGGAGGGAAAACAGTACACCTCTCTGAACAGTGTCTGGGAGGCTGTGGTTGCTGCTGCACGCAATGTTGATGGTGAACAGATCAAAACACTGACAGAATCCATGGATGGCAGGCTTTTGAGTGTCCTTGCAAAGAAAGGTGGCTATATTGGTCGCTGATTTGTTTTTGTTTTGTTTTTGAATGTCAGAAATGTATATTTGTGAATGTGGAGATGTTATATTGGTTTCACTGGTAAAAATAAATAATTGAAATGGGTATATATTTGTTTTTTGTTAAGTTGCCTAATAATTATGCACAGTAATAGTCACCTGCACACACAGATATCCCCCTAAAATAGCTAAAACTAAAAACAAACTAAAAACTACTTCCAAAAACATTCAGCTTTGATATTAATGAGTTTTTTGGGTTCATTGAGAACATGGTTGTTGTTCAATAATAAAATTATTCCTCAAAAATACAACTTGCCTAATAATTCTGCACTCCCTGTATAATTTGGCATAGCTTAACTATTTTTTCCCATTTCCCTTCCCCAAGAATGGTTTCTTCCACCCTTCCACTGAGAGCATTTCTGATGAGCTTTAGTGAACAGTGATCATCTTAAATTAGAAACAAATGGTCCTTTAACAAGGATATTTTTCCAGTTACAGACAGAAAACAGCTGGCTTAGCTGTAGCTAAGACTAGCCATGGTTCATAGCTAGCTTTACAATTAACAGTTAAAATTCATACACTGTGGCTTGTTTTGCTATAGAATAGCCCTTTATTGCTATTGTATGTGTATATAAAATTACAGAAGAATATACAATTGTCTACTCTAGTTTCTTTTAAAGAAGTTTACGGTGCACTAATTTTCTATGGCACAATAGATGTTTGTCTGACAACAAAGGCTATTTTTTGTTTTTAATGTCCCTACACACTATTTTCCTATCCTTACCTTTCCTGTCACTGATTTTTGATCCATCTCCCTGAAATTAATATCCTCCATTTTTAAGAGGCAGAAAAGTTCCTTTTGTCACTCACGTGAAAGTCCACAGTTTGAGCAATACATGTGACAGCGTTTTCTGCTTAAGTTGTTTTATTTTTAATGTGTTTTTAATATAAAATATTGTATTAGTTGATGTTGTTATTATTTAGGGTAAGGCATTAAGTCTAACAAGTTACAGGCTTGTATTTCTGGTTAGAAGAGTTACAGCCACCTGCTAAAGGCTTTCCAAAACACGTGCTGTAGACACAAGTTCCAACTGAAATACATTAGTTTAATAATATATATTAGTTACTATGAGACCAGTCTGACATAAGGCCCCTCACACAGAAACTGTATGCCTACAGGGCTGATTGCATTCATATTCAGTACTGAAAATCTAAAATAGGGATGTCAGACTCATTTCCATTGTGACCAGTGAAATTCCTCTTTCTGTCAGTGTAAAAAAAAGTTTAATTATAGAATTAATCATTGAGATATCTTAATATAAGAAAAAGAAGTGCGATTTCAACAGGACATTTCAGTTTTTCTACATAATAAAAAATTGCTGCTGCAGTAAATGAAAGAAATCTGTCACCCCAACTCTTTTGGCTTAAACTGTAAGAAATCAATGAGTAAAATTACAGAAAAACTTCTGGCAGCTCATTTAATCTTCTGTAATTATAAATCAGAAACTCTTTTTTTGATATCTCACAGAAAGAAGTGAAAAAATAGGAACTTTTCTGTTCTGTCTTTTCTTAATTTTCTTCTTTTTCTTAATCTGCTACCTAATTACTTTGGGGTAGCATAAATGGCCCATGGGCGAGGTCAGTAAAGATAAAGCGTTCAAACTAATGAAAATACACTCAAAAGTCCCAAATTCCTGTCTTTATTTTTCTAAAGCTGTGCAGCTGGGCCAGAGTCTGTGTCAGGCTGATTCTGGCCCCCGGGCCTTATGTTTGAAACCACTGATCTAAAGATAGAGGATGATGCCTATACTTAAATGACTTCATCACATGTCACACTTGTTTTGGGAGCACCCATAGTTGTACTGTGGCTGGCGCAGCAGCTATATCGTACCATGGGTTCCTCTTTTTATATCATAATTATGTATCGATGTGTGTGTGTGTGTGTGTGTGTGTGTGTGTGTGTGTGTGTGTGTGTGTGTGTGTGTGTGTGTGTGTGTGTGTGTGTGTGTGTACCTTGGCCAGCCCCACATTGGGGAAGGTGTCCATGGTCATCACTGTCTCCTCCCCTGGCTGGTTCTCCAGCTGTCCCTTGAGAATACGAGCTGCTGTGAGGGTTGTGAGTCCCATACCTGAGGCCCACAGACACAAGTTCACACACTGTAGCTTTGATAAACACAAATAACTCCCTCCTGCATCTTCTTGTATTCCTTTAAAATATTTGTTTTCTATGCTGTAAATTGGTGGCTGAGCAAACAGAGCAGACAATGCCTGAAATGATCTATGTATATAAAAAAGTAATTCAAGCACTCTTTACTTATTCTGCTTGTTTTAACTGTTCAGCCGAGTGAGGCTGTCTAATGATATTCGTGCAAAGGATTGACAGTGTTGTGTAACCTACCATCTCCAAGGAAAAACAGGATGTTCTTGGCAACGTTGGTGTTCAGCTTCCTGTCTAGTGCTGCCTGCAGTGTCTTCCTCGCCTGTGACCTCCAGAACTCTGAGTTCTCTTCCTCAACTTAAGGCAAACACAGGAGTCAGAGTGGTGTTTAAAACATCAGTTCAAACAAAAATATGCACTCAACACAAGCACCAGCTTAACTTTTATTGAAGCTTCTCTTACATATTGGAGTTCATCTGATCTTGATGCTGGTTGCTTTCAGACAAAACTATGATATAACACTTAGCATTTCCTACTGTAGCTAGAAATTCAAACTGTTCTCACAACTGAAGTAAGTACACTGAAATAAACCAGAGATGGAGCGGACAGCAGGAAACAGAAAAAAGCTAAATTGTACATACCATAATAATTACTCAGTAATCGCTCATTACCTTTAAATTGGAGATATATGGGCACATAGAGGGGCCTTTTAAGCAGTGCACATTCATTATATTAAAAGGGTAACTGATAACTATAGGTGAAGCTGCTGCTTAAAGACAGTTTATGTCTGGAGAGTAAATGTTTGGAGCCTATATTTGTTTCATTATACAGGGTGGGCCATTTATATGGATACACCATAATAACATGGGAATGGTTGGTGATATTAAAGTCCTGTTTGTGGCACATTAGTATATGTGAGGGGGCAAACTCCTCAAGATGGGTGGTGACCATGGTGACCATTTAGAAGTCGGCCATCTTGGATACAACTTTTGTTTTTTCAATAGGAAGAGGGCCATGTGACACATCAAACTTATTGGTAATGTCACAAGAAAAACAATGGTGTGCTTGGTTTCAACGTAACTTTATTCTTTCATGAGTTATTTACAAGTTTCTCTTTGTTCACAGCCATTGACATGTCGAAGAGGTTAACACGTGAGGAGCGGATCGAAATTGTGTTGATATCTGGTGAACGCAGTAACCGGGTCATTGCAGCAGATTTCAATGCAAGACACCCTACGAGACCACCCATCTCCCATGCTACAGTTAGCAAACTGCTTGCTAAGTTTCGTGAAACTGGTTCAGTGTTGGATTTGCCAAAATGTGGACGCAAGAAAACTGTCACTAATGAAGAAACATCAGTGGCTGTCCTAGCTTCATTCAGCAAGAGCCCACAGCGTAGCACTCGCCGCATGTCACTGGAGAGTGGCATTAGTCGAACATCCCTTCGGCGGATATTAGCTACTCACAAATGGCACCCTTACAAACTCCAGCTACTGCAGCATCTCAACGAGGATGACCCAGATCGGCGCACAGAATTTGCAGAATGGGCAAAACAAAAATTGGAACAGGACCCTCAGTTCACGCAGAAGATTTTGTTCAGTGATGAGGCAAACTTTTATGTGAATGGTGAAGTTAACAAACAAAACCACCGCTATTGGTCTGACACTAACCCACATTGGATGGATCCCTCCAAGACTGTTGGAACAACAAAAGTGATGGTTTGGTGTGGTATATGGGGACAACGATAGTGGGTCCATTCTTCATCAATGGAAACCTCAAGGCCACTGGATATTTGAAATTGCTACATGATGATGTGTTTCCCTCTTTATGCACTGAAGCTGGCACGTTCCCTGAGTTTTTCCAGCAAGATGGTGCACCACCACATTATGGGTGCCAGGTCCGAGCATTCCTAGATGAACAGTTTCCTGGAAAGTGGATTGGTCGTCGTGGGCCAGTTGAATGGCCCCCAAGGTCTCCCGATCTGACCCCCTTAGACTTTTATCTTTGGGGTCATCTGAAGGCAATTGTCTATGGTGTGAAGATACGAGATGTGCAGCACCTGAAACTACGGATACTGGATGCCTGTGCTGGCATTTCTCCTGCGGTGTTGCTATCAGTGTGTGAAGAGTGGGAGAAGAGGGTTGCATTGACAATCCAACACAATGGGCAGCACATTGAACACATTTTATAAGTGGTCAGAAACTTGTAAATAACTCATGAAAGAATAAAGTTACGTTGAAACCAAGCACACCATTTTTTTTTTGTGACATTACCGATAAGTTGGATGTGTCACATGGTCCTCTTCCTATTGAAAAAACAAAAGTCTAAATGGTCACCATGGTCACCACCCATCTTGAGAAGTTTGCCCCCTCACATATACTAATGTGCCACAAACAGGACTTTAAAACCATTCCCATGTTATTACGGTGTATCCATATAAATGGCCCACCCTGTAGTCTAAAAACGCCTTTCTTAATAAGAGTTTTATTCTCTGACTCATCCGGCTATTAAGCAATAAAGCCTATTGACTGTAGGAAACTGCCAAAACACTGATGTTTCATACAACAGTGTGTGATGCAGTTAACAAAGCAGCACAATCAGGTTCAAGCTGAAACTTTCTCCTGGTTTGACTCAGTTTGTGCTGTTCCGTGGAGTGATTAATACATAATGTTGAGGTTTTCAAATGGCCTTCTTTTCATCAAACAAGAATACTTTGATGAATTTAGACCATTCTGGGCTTGTAATCTACTGATGTTAATGCTCCAGGTACTCAGCTAGATAAAAGTAGCAGAATAATTTTAATATGTACTATCATAATTACAGAATGGATTTTTAAAATGTTTAATCAGCCTTTTAATTGAGTATTACAATGTGTCTTTAGAACAGGAGTGAGGCTCTCTAAAAACGGGCTCCAAAGTACAGATGCAGTTAAAAAAACATAATAAACACATAATGATTATAGATCCACAATCTTAGTTATTTACAAATTTCTGATCAAGTTAATTTAGTTTGACCTTGAAATATGTTTTCCATATAGCAACGTTCTAAACCTTTGAACTGTAGCATAATTACAGTTTTATCTAAGATGCTTTCCTACTGTGAGTGTTTATAGCGCAACATGTTCCTGCTGGAAATCAGTATCTCACTTCAGGTGTAACTTTAAACTTGGAGAAAACTTCCGCCTAAAATTCCACAGATCACAATCAAAGCCTTGTTCGGCGCATCCTGCAGAGATCACTGTGAGCAGTGTTAGAAAGAAACTCTTTCAAGACTTGAATGTGTGTTTACTGCAGTGTTTGTTCGCAGCAACAGCTGTCACACCTCACTTTAATGCTCTCTTATCTACTGCAGTACATCTCTGTATGCTGTTAAACAGTGATTGCTGATACAGTAGTCCATTAATTCACATTGCTGATAACGGGGAGTTTTGCGCAACTCCATCTGCACTCAAAGTGCTGACTTGCAAAGTTTGGAAGCTCCTGTCAAAAAACAACCGGGGACCATGAAAGGAAGGGTGGAAGGTGAGACATCATTAAGAAGAAAAAAGGGAAAGTGAAAAGAGGGTAAAGACAGAGCCCAAAGGGAGACGAGAAAGGGACTCAGAATTGGTGGATGATGGAGTTTTAAAGCTTTTAAATCGAGAAGAAGTTTGATTCTTAGGTTAAAAACGGAGAATCATACATCAAACTCAACATTTTCAGGTCACTCTGATGTTATCGTAAAAAGACCTGCAAATCTAATAGTTTGTGTAAAAGCTGCAGAGTGAAGGAATGGGGGGGGGAAGCCTGTGTTATGAAGAGGTGCATTTTTGCTTGTGGGTGAATTTCTGCAGCTGTAACACTGGAAGAAAAAAAATGAAGTTCTGGTCGAAGTGGCACTCAAATACCAATACTGAAAGAAAGGACAATGGGAAAACTAATACAAGGACAAGTGGTCAACTTGTTGTGTGCTAGCAATAGAAGTTCTGGGTTAGGTTTTTCAAGGTTTTTGTTTAAAGGTAAAGAGCTGAAATCTGAAAGGGTTTGAACAGTGTTAAAGGTCGAAACAATGGGTGTACTGTTTGGTTCATCAGCATTTGAATGCAGCAGAATGAATGTACATTTGAAACGTAAATGAAATGCAAGCTTAAGATGGAAACAGTGGAACTGGTTTTTGATTAAACGCAGGTATTGATTCACTTACAATTAAAATGAACTTCAGCTGAAACATTTAAATGAAAGCAGATGAAGTGGGCATGTCAGCTGATGTGTAAAGTCTGAACGCAGTGGAGCAGTTAATTCAGGAAATATCACTGAAGCACTGAAAGGTTTTCAGTTGAAGGTTATAGTGCTTATTGTTGATTTTGTACATGGTGAACGCAGTTGAACAGCCATTTGTAGTGTAAATGCCGAACACGATTGAAATGACATTTAAAGACTGTGTGTGTTTGGCTTGATGTGTGAGCCCTGAGGTTCAGTAAATGTAAAACAATGGAAACATTAGATGAAGAACATGCAGAGGCTGTTATCTGTCAAGAGTTGAGGTTTTTATTCACTTTTTAAAATGTGTCTCTATGCATAGACAATGGCCAGTGGGTAGAACAGGAAGTCCTGAAGCAAATATTGATTAACCGATATACTCACTAGCTGAAGTGTTCCCACACTGGTTACAATACAGCAAGCAGTTGCTTAAATGTAAAAGCTGAAAATCAGTCAAACTACCCTGAGACACAAAAAGACTTATGAGCTGAATGGTCAGCAAAGTGTAAGAAACTGGTAAATAAAGTGACATAGGATAAGGTTTGAGCCAGATATGGCAAAAGTACACACATTCAGTACTTAAGTAGAAGCACAGATACTTCAGCTATTTTTATCCAAAGCTAAACATTGTGCTATATTAATGTAATAATAAAATAACATAAGTAATTTCTATTAAGTGCTCCAGTATTTATCTTTGTGTACAGGCTGTGATCAGCTGATCTGGGACACTGCTGCTCTTTGTGAATATACAAACGGATGTGAGCAGATGCATGTGAGCATGAGTTCTCCTGGCTGATTTCCATTATCTACACTGACAGTACACTGTTTATGCTGTCTTTATACTAAACAGTATCATCATTCTAACTTCAAATTTATCTCTGCTACATTGGATGTAACCCAACTCTGGCCATCAAATCACCAATCACACACTGTTCTTTACTTTAAATCCATCACAACACAGCAAACTAACCTGTTTGTCCTGGACTAACCTGCAGAGGAGTTTCATGTCAAACATAATGTCACATGTACAGACTCAATATCTGATTTAGAAAACATCAAAGCAGAAGAAAACCCAAAACAAAACTAAAACAAGAGTTTGTTTTCCTTCTTTCCATACCTGTGGCAATGGATGATCCAAGCACCACCAACAGAAAGAGAGCCAGGAACGACCTTCTTGTGGACGCCATGGCCACGATCGAGATGGCAGTCTGCTCCTCTAAGTCTTGAATCAACTCTTCCACTCTAATAATACCCGTTTCCAATCTAACCTGCTGTCAGTCATATTTAACAGCATGTCATAAATGCATAAAGACCAATCAACCTGTGGCAGCCTTATATGACCCTTTGAGTGAAAAGAAATGTGTTGTGGTTGGCATGGAGGAGAAATAAGACACAAAAAAAACATAACAAAAATATACCTGCAGCTTAAACTACTGTAATAATGAACCTATGACTATATGTGGTCCTTGACTAGAGGACTCATTAAGAGTAGTTTTAATGACACCATTGAATTGAGCGTATACACGGGCATTATTTATGACCCCGTGACAAAGATCAAGGAAATGCATGCGAACATACCAATCAGCAATTGAAAGTTTGTGTGTGTGTGTGTGTGTGTGTGTGTGTGTGTGTGTGTGTGTGTGTGTGTGTGTGTGTGTGTGTGTGTGTGTAATTTCTAACCATAAATGGACTGTATCTGAGAGATAATGCAACAGAGCAATACAGTTATGTAAGTGAGAAAGACAGAGTCCGCCGGGACTGAGCTGAAAGTCAGAAGCACTCAGCCATCTATTTTCCAATGAATACATTAGCAAGAAGGGATATAAGTATCGACAATCATGTTTTATTTGATTGCTTGTCCAAAATTTCCACATCACCCTTCTGAGAGAACAAGAGGTAACATGGCAACTGATGCAAAAAGCATGTTTTGCATCTTATTCAACAGGTGCCATGCGTCACACAGGTAATTTAATCACATAATGTTCCCTGCAAGTTCACTGATTAGTCTCACCAGTGTGAATGAGGCATTAAGCCAAGAACGCAAACCAATTTTAATCTCCTTAATAGGAATGGAAATAAAGTTTTTCTTCTTTCCTTTTTATATTTTTTCAGTAAATGAGAGCAAATGGAGGGAAAAATGTGGAAAGGGGCGTGGCATACAGTTTGTGTGACCTTGACCCATAAGAAAGAAAAAACAAATGTGATTTTCTTTTTAAGTAACATTTGAAAAAGTTTTCAAAAGTGAGTCCCAGAAATACTGGGAGCTCAGCACCAAAAGTATGAGTCAAATATCAAAGTAGGAAAAGATGGTACACCATCAAAGCAAACAAAGTCTGTGAGGCTTCATATTTAATTAAAATATCATTACTGATGGATTCTGGTCAGAAGCCAGAAAAAGAATGAGAAATGATAGTGAAGACACACGAGACCAACAGCATGAGCACGTAAAGCCTCAAATCCGGTTATCAGGAAAACCTTTTTAGTTTTTCTATAGCTAAAATTATTTGAAGATACACAGTATGCAATAATTCCAATTTAATATTTAATGTTTATTTTTTTATTTAATATTGGTCTCTACATAACACATATTTAATGTTTTTTCCATTTACAAATATTTAATGGTTGGTTATTATTAATCTCCACTTCTCTTCCACGGGATGTCTTCTATCCTGTCTTCCTCCCCTCATCTCCAACACCACAGAGATGGTGGAGGTTTCTTCCTGTCAAAAGGGAGTTTTTCCTTCCTACTGTTGCCAAACAGCTTGTTCATACTGGGTCATCTGATTGTTGAGGTTTTCTTTGTTTTCTCTCTATTATTGAATTACGAATTGAATCACATAAACAGTAAATCTGCTTGCTCTTACTCATTTCCATGTGTTGTTAAACATAATAAATTGTCAATGCAAATCATAGTTCATGCTAAATTGAGTGATCTGAAAATGTGAAGAATAAACTGTGATGTTTTTAATGGGGATTTTATACTGTCATTTTGAAAAATATCCCAGTCCACATGAAAAAACACACAAAAAAAATGTTTTAAAGAAACAATGTCAGTGCATGCCAGAACAATAGGCATAACTACCCTGAACTTTACACCTTGTAGGACTGTTAGCCCATCAGAAACCTACAAACAATAATACAGTGGCTCTCCTTTGACCACACGTGACTTTGACATGTAAACGCAGAAACTGAACATCTTGATGCTGGAGGACGTTTTCTAAAAAGCTCTGTTTTCAGTGAGCTAAAATGCCATTTATGTTTGGACAAAAGGCCAAAATGCATTTTAAAAAAACGCTACATTTACCAGCCTGTGCAGCTATGGCCTAATTGGTCAAAAATAAATGAAGAATGTGGTAGGAAAACTTTATTACATGGTCATAAAAGGGTTAATCTAAATAATGCTAATATCAGTCTAATACATTAATAGTGATGATATTAGGATTCAAACATTACATAAAATCAAATATTGCAACTTAAATCACTTTAAATGCTACATAAAAAAAAGTTTCTCTCTCATCTTCACTGTTTTAGCTAAACCCACACACTGCTATGTAGTTTACTATGCATGTAAAACAGTTGAATAATACCTGAACTTTGAGAGGTCAGTGTACTCACAGCGATTGAGACTGTGGCTGTTTGGCCTCCCAGATTCTAAAAATGACCATAATTTAGCAAATTAGTCAGCAGGAAGGTGTTTACTGGTGTCACAGAGCCATCAAGCCAAGGGTAATTTTCAGCTATTCAATATTTAAATAAAACCTGGTGCTGGCCATTAAAAAGAATGCAGGTATAAGGGGCTTCAAGGTGCTCATTTATTTGGTATGTTTGGATTAATTGTAGCTTAATTCATTTCACTGCCAGACTTCAGGGCAATTTAATCTAATGCTTTCGTGTTTCCAGCATTTTGTTCTTTCTTAAAATTTTTAATATATATATATATATATATATATATATATATATATATGGTCAATCATCTAACATCTAATATATATATATATATATATATATATATATATATATATATATCAATCATAAACTTACACGAAATTCATATTTGTAACTTTTGTAAAACATTATTAAAACATTGTTTTGTGACCTTGGCCAACCTCTGCAAAAACTGACAGCACCTCTGTGAGAAAAGCAAACTGTCACAGCTGAATAGGTTGATGCGGTGCGCTGTGCAGCGAGTCCAAGACGCTGACATGTTGTCACTGACGGTGGTGGAGAGATGCGACCACACTGTGTCCTCACTGCTGTGGGTCTCTGCGGTGAGCAGGACAGCAGGCTGTTGCACACACCCACCATCTGCTGTGGAGCTATGATTCATGACGATATCATGTCAGCTCATTAGTTTACTGTTGTGTATGTGTTTGAGTTAAACTCCAATGGTACCTGTGGGGGGAAAACGGGTCATGGCAGCAATTTGTAGGATAAAGCTAGACTCAAAAAATATTTAGGAACAAAATAAGTGGAACAAAATGAATGCATTTGTAATGTATAGATGGCACCGATCCAACAGTGATTTTGGCTCTCTATTATATTTTTAAAACGTGTGTTTGTTTGTTATCTGCTGCTTGGAGACAGTTTTAGTGTTTGAGAGATTTGCAAAAGCTGGCATGGTCACTCAATATAGTGAATGTGGGGAATATACACGGTGTAATGGCGCCCTCTAGTGTATGCAATAGTGACTATTACTGAAGTTTAATGCAACTCGCTCTTCAGACTTTAAATTAAAATCAGAGATTTTAATTTAGTTCAATTTAAATTAATTTATTTATTACATATTTTGACAAGTGAAAGAAAAATAATTTTAGCATTTATTCAAGAAGAGTATGAGATATAATATTGTATATTGTACAAAAAGCATGAGGATCTAGTATGGCCCCCTTTAGCAAGATTTATGAAAGGCATTTGGTGTTGTTATTAAGCCTCTCTGATGTTCACTTTTCACAGCAAAATTCCTTCAGCTGTGATATTTCTGACTTCAAATTTCCATAAATTCCAATGACATTCCAAATCTGGTTTTGGCACTCTACTTTTTGTTTTTGAGCCAATCACTGGTGGATTTGTTCTCTGGTGAAAGCGTTTAGGATCATTATCCTTTTACAAGGTCCACTTCAGGTTCAACCTCAGTTTTCAAGCCATTTTTAGTATCCAGTGCTGTGACCCATGGTTCCTCTCCTGAAATGCCATCTTGTGTCTGAGCCACACAGATCTTAATCCTTTGATTAAAGGGCATTATCTGTAAAGGCCTGGTTTTCCCCATATGTTTAAGTTTTGCAGAACTTTCCTGGCACGTATTTTAAATTTGTGGAACCGTGTTGTGATTGTTGATGTGTCTGCTCTGACAGCAACAGCAGCAAGAGTCATCTGGGCCTGGGTTTCGGGGTCACAGAGACTTCTGCTCTTGGGCTGAATTTGTCAGGGCAGGCTGTGCTGAACAACGCTGCTGGAAATCTGCCCTCCATGATGATGGTGGTGTGCAATCAAGTGATATATTCCACTGCAATTAGTAATTTTTTTTTATTTAAAATCCTTGCCAGACCCCCTACCACCCCCACCAAACAAAAGGCCCAAGGGAGCTCTTTAGATCTTTGTATGATGACACCACACACTTTACTGTGGTGGATATTTGAATAGCGAGGTTCTAACTAGCAGTCCCTGGAACCTCTGATTCTAATTATCATGGCTTAAGTGTACTTTTCCAAGTGATTTTGTATTTTTGCATATTTAACTTAATATTTACTTGTCCAAACATTCAAAAGACAATTTAAATACATCCTCATGATTTCTATATATGGCAAAGTATCTGAAATGAAACGTCAAAGCAGGATGAGGCCATGGAAAAATCCAAATGTGTTCCCTGTGCATTCGAATGCTGTGTTTCAGTGTAGATATTAAAAGGGCAGACAGAAAAAAGTAACAAAATCCCTTTACATAAAAAACATCATCTTTAATGTCACTTTTTTGCAGGTGTTTATTTGGAAATCTTTTTGCCTCCATCAAAAAGAAAGATAAAATCTTAGTAAGATTTCAAACATTCAACAGATGTGCATACAAGTGTGTCCTATAAACCTTCATTTATAATCCATTTGCAGATAAACAGGAAAATATACAGCAGATGGATTTAAGATACAGCATTACTCAGATGTAAAATCTCAAGTGAATGTCAGACTAAGATCTCGTCTCCATACAAAGCGTCACCGCCCACGTTTCCCCTGACTTTGATGTGTGTTTGGAA